TGGCCATCATCAATACCTCAAAAAACAACAGATGCTGGAGAGGATGTGGGGAAAAGGGAACACTTCTACACTGTTGGTGGGAGTGCAAACTAGTACAGCCTCTGGGAAAACAGTGTGACAATTCCTAATAGATCTAAAAATCGACCTCCCATATGACTCCACAAACCCCCTGCTGGGAATATACCTGGAGGAATTCAAAACACTGTGAAAAAGATACCTATGGCCAGCGCAGTGGCTCAAGTCTGTAATCCCAGCACTTTGGGAGGTTGTGGTGAGAGGACTGCCTGAGCCCACGGGTTTGAGAACAGCCCAGGCAACTTGGCAAGGCCTCATCTCTATAATAAATCAAAAAATTAGCCAAGCATGGTAGTGCATGCCTTCAGTTCCAGTTACTTGGAAGGTTGAGGTGGAAGGATCACTTGAGCCCACAAGTTTGACGCTTGGATGGCTGTGAGTGTGCCACTGCACTCCATTCTGTGTGATGGAGTGAGACCACAAATCAAAAAAAAAAGAGAAAGAAAAGATACCTGCATACACATGTTTATTGTATTTATTGCAGCATTATTCACAATAGCAAAAACATGGAAACAACCATGCTGCCCATCGAAAGAGAACTGGATAAAAAAACATAATACATATACACGATGGAATATTACGCAGTCATAAAGAAGGAAAAAATTATGAACTTCACAGCGACTTGGATGGTATTAGAGTCTATAATACTGAGTGATCTATCACAGAAAACAAAGAACCGAGTATCACATGTTCTCACACATAAGTGGACATTGAACAATTATAATACTACAAGAAAGGGATTGGCAGCTGGATGCTGTGTTTCAGACCTGTAATCCCAGCACTTTGGGAGGTCAAGGTGAGAGGACTGCTTGAGCCCGCAGGTTTGAGAACAGCCTAGGCAACTTGGTGAGACCTCGTCTCCACAATAAATAAAAAAATTAGCTGGGCATGGTAGTGCATGTCTGTAGTTCTGGCTCCATGGAAGGTTGAGGCAGAAGGATCGCCGGAGCCCAGCAGGTTGATGCTGGGGTGGCCGTGAGTGTGCCGCTGCACTCTAGCCTGGGCAACGAAGTGAGACTACAACTCAAAAAAAAAAAGGGATTGGCAGTAGTGGGAAACTGCCAGGGGATGGGTGGCACACCTCACAGCCTCAAGGGTACCTGCGTAATGAACATTTGTATACCTAACCCTGAATTGTACCCCACATATTTAAAGTAAAAATTAAAAGAAAAAAGGAATACCGTTCCAGCAATTGCTCATCTCTCTACTGAATCAGTTATATTTTCCTCTTTCTCCAATGATTTCTATTAACATAGAAATAGATGCAATATCTGTCATCTTAATAAAAACAAAATAGTAACAACAAAAACCTACCACATGTCCCCATACATCACGCTTTAGCTAACACTATATTTCTCTGTTGTCCTTTGAAGCATAACTCCTCAAAAGTTTATCTTTCATTCTCTGAAACCTAATCTAAACAGTTTGTCTCCACTATGCCATGAAATATGTTCTTGTAAAAGTCACCAACGATTCCACACTACAAAATCAAATGGTTAATTTGCAGTCTCTCTTGATCCATTTGAAGCATGTGACAGTTTAATACATCACCTCCTTGATATTCTTTTACTTACTTCTGTAATGCATTCTTATTTTTCCCGTATCTAATTACTGCTCCTTCTCTATCTCCTTTATTCTTCATTTCTCTGACCTGTAAACATTGGTGTGCTCCAGTCTCATTTTCCAGATGTCTTCTCTATCTACACTTATTCCCTGTATTAGTTTTTCAAAATTTTTGTTTACCACAACCTAACAAACATACCCCCCCTACACACACATAACAACAACAACAAATTTTAATTAAGACCCAGGACATATAATAGGTACTCATGTGTGTGTTTATATAATTAAAACTTTCTATTAATATGAATATCCTGGTCTCAATCCCCTAAATTAAGTTCTTGATTTAAAAATGAGTTACAACTCACAGTCAAAAGAAACACTTTTCTATATACTAACTCCCATATTTACATTTCTAGTTTTATCCTACTTCCTAATTCTTGATTTATATATCAATCACTCTTCAACATTTATATTTGGACATTTAATAAGATTTTTTGCATTTAATGAATCAAAAGCCGAATTCCCACTCCTCTCAAAAAACTAGTCTTTTCCATTCTAGTCTTCTGAAGAACTCTTAGTAAACAACAACACCATTCTTAGTTCAAATAACTTAAGAGCAATATTTTTCCCCTGAAAGGTGAATGCTTGTCCCCGTTCCCTATATTTTTTCCTCCTGTATCCAGTCACATCTGCTGAGGAGATATATCTGCCAGAATTTCACAATATTTCACCAAATAGTCCCATGCATGTGAGGGTCGCAGGTCTGAATCAAACTCTCCTTCAACTCAGCAGGGCTAGCAGGTGGTCAAGCAGTATTCCTAAACTCTAGTCAAATCTCCTGGCTACCTCTTAAAGACATCTGTTAGACTAATTCTTGACTTTTATTTTTCTCTTCTCTCTCTCTCTCTCTCTCTTTTCTTCAGTCGGAGTCTCACTCTGTTTCCTGGTTGGAGAGCAGAAGCAAAACCAAGGTTCACCACAGCCTTCAACTCCTGGGCTCAAGTGATCTTTCTGCTTCAGTCTCCCAAGTAGCTGAGCAGCTGAGACTAGAGATACACACACCACCATGTCTGGCTAATTTTTTTTTATAGAGACAAGGTCTTGCAATGTTGCTTAGGCTAGTCTTGAACTCCTGAGCTCAAGCAATTATCTTGCCTTGTCCCCCACCCCCCGCCCCAAGGTACTGGGATTACAGGCATGAGCCATCACATGCCTTTTTTTTCTCTTGAAGTTGGAGTCTCACTCTGTCGCTCAGTGGCACACATGCTCACGGCCACCCCAGCGTTGACCTGCTGGGCTCAGGCGATCCTTCTGCCTCAGCCAGAACTACAGGATGCGCTACCACATCCAGCTTATTTTTTATTTATTGTAGAGATGAAGTCTCGCTAAGTTGCCCGGGCTGGTCTCAAACCCATAGGTTCAGGCAATCCACTCCGCCTCGGCCTCCCAAAGTGCTAGGATTACAGTCCAACCTGATATCTTCATGATTCACTCATTCACTTTCAGGATTCACTTTTAATGTCACTTTACAAGTGAGGCCTTCCGTGACAGCCCTATATAAAATAATATCATCTCACCCCCATGAACTTTCCTAGTCCTAGTCTCCTGTGTTTTTTCTTCATTGTACTTATCATCAATTCTATGTTGTCTACCTGCACCAGCTAGAATATGAAGTCTATGGGAGCAAAGGTTTTATCTTCTTTCTCTGTTAACAGTGAAATGTAAATGAGCATCTATATTCAGTAGTATGTATCCAAATCACAGGAGGAATCTAATGTAATCTATACTTGGAAACAGTACTCTTATTGGGCTTCTTCTACACAGCCTGTGCTTTCAAATAAATAGTTCTCAATCTTTTTCTGTCACACCTGAGGGGTACAGAGTATAGCATATCCTGTCAGTACTGGTGACTAATGTTGACAATCCATATTAATCTAGGTCCAAGCTGGACCAGCAAATACTGTCTCTCAGACTGTAAGTACTTTGGCTGTCTTTTAGAATAATTTTCACTGACCTATACTTTGGTATTCTGCTATCAGCTTGAATAAGTAATGTCTTACAAAACACCTTTATATTGTCATCATTATTACAGTAATAAGACTTTTAAAAATATTATTTATGAATTTTTACTATGTATCAACTGATCTGCTAGGTGTCTTTTATGTATTAGCTCACTGAATCTTTATAAAAATCACTACTATTCCTATTATTCTCCTCTTTTAACATATAGAAAATTGAGATTCAGAAGGTAAGTAACTTTCCTAAGGTTGCAAATCTAGTAAATCAGAAGAACAAGAATTTAAAGTATACTATACCCAATACCAATTCTCATGTTAATTACTATACTATAATGCCCTAATATAACATTTCAGTTGATAAATTTATGTAAGACCTACAAGCAAGAGAAAACTTGCATTTCTCTAAGAACTAGACATTAAGAGCTACAGAAAAATGATGGTGCGTCACCTTTCACTTTGATCTCCAGGAACTAAAAATTCAGCTCTGACAAAAGTGAGTAAGTCCTTATGATCCAGATATTTCAATGCATCTTGATCACCTCATATAATTTATGTTTTCCCTAATTCCTTATATGTTTCCTTTATATCCTATCAATCAACACTCCCCTTTTAAAACGCATATATTCCACTGAGACTGTTATATCAAAACAGCTGAAATATTATAAAACATAAGTAACAAAGTCACAATTCAACAGTTCTAACACTGAAACCCAATCAGGTATATGCATTTTGGAAGAGAATACAAAGACAAACGAAATAGAACCATAATGGTACACTAGGTTATAAGGTTGATATTCTAGGGTCTAAGAGAATGACTCTGGACATAGCAGATAAAGAAGTAAGGATACTGAGATGAGCAAAATTCACAGTAAGTTCAACCACATAGCCAGAAACTAATTAATATTCAGTGATCACCATCACTGCCATTATCTAACAAAACAATAACTTCTCTGAATGGAACTAGGCACAGGTAATATGGAGAAAACCAATCACTTTCTCTTTCTTTTCCTATCTTCTTTACTACTGTCAAGAAAGGCCAAACTCTTTCACAGGGTAACTACTCAGAAGTTAACAAATATATTATACCATGCACAAGTTAACAAATATACTGAGAGGTTTCTAAATACTGTTTTACATCAAGAGAAGAATGCTCTTCTCAAAGAACAATCTACAAAGTATTTCACTTAAAGGCAACTGTAGTTGACAATATTATATGACAACTTAAATGAGCCATGAAACATATAACTAAAAATAAAGTATATGCCATCAATAAAATCTATGTTCTTTTTAAGGCTCAAAGGGAATATAAGCCAAGATAATCTTCCAGATAAACTACAAACTTACCTTAGCTACTTCTTCTTCTAATCGTTCTTTGTACTGTTTTTCCAGCAACTTAACCATATTTGTTTCCCACGTCACTCCAAATTCACCAGAAAACTTAATTAAAAAGTAAAATAGGCATTAATTTACACTAAGTATACACCATTTATTTCTATACTTCTACTCTCAAAATGTCCCAAAACATCACTATTTCTTAGAAAACTTCTGGATACTCTCAACAAAAAATAACCTGAGTAATACTACTAAATAATTATACTTACTGCTATGAACTTAAGATGGAAAGGGAAATATATTCACACCTAACATATAGTTGTAGGGCAGAATAATGATCTTTAACTACAACTAATAAGATATATGCGCGTGCATGTATTTTCTTTTAAGTAAAATGTTAAACAGTGGCTACTTTGCCCATGAAATAACAAGTAAATTTTCTTTTCTTCTTGCAACTTATTAATAGCATTCAATTTTCAACAAATACAAATTATTTTTATCAATGAAAAAAACCATAAAATTAAAAAAAAGTCTTCCTAGTATGCAAGTATGTACTTGTTTATCAATTATCAGAATTTCACCCAAACAGATATTCCACATAGAACAGTACAGAAGAATCAAGAATGTGGCTAACATCTTTCCTTTGAATCAAGAGTGAGAAAGAGCAATAATTTTTATTTTCTCTAGGACTTAGGAGCTATTGAATGAAGACCACAATTCTGAAGTTACAGATTTGAAAAAAGTTGCAGGTTTGGGAAACTGGGAATAATGCAACGTTGAGGAGAACAAGAGGGTTAAACTAGATGGTATGCACTATAAAGATGTGATACCATTACGTATCTTACAGAATCTGGTGGAGAAAGCCTAATCCATCATCCCAGTCCTAGCATCTTGGATTTTGGAGATTCCTAAACACTATTCTGGAGATGGCCTTGTCCAATTTCCCACTCTAGGAAGAAAAAGCTATGTTGGTTAGGGCACTGAAACTAATTAATTACATAGCCCATACGTGCTATACCCAATAAGACAAATTTTAAACTATAACATATTTACAGGTGAAAAAACCCTCAAACTTAACTTTCTCTGTGTTCTTCCTATGCTATAAAAAATATATTAAATTTCATTACTTATATACTCTAGATCTTTTAAAAGTATGATCTCCACATTTATTATGTGGACTTCTCAGCAACTATTCATTGATAACAGCGAAACCACAGACATAAAAATGACAGTAAGAAAATAAAAATCAGTGTACATAACAGTTTAAAGATAAAGATTAAAAATATAATACCTCCATTGTACCGATATTCTCTTTTACACAACTTCCAGAGTATACTGCTCTCTGTACATCTGATTCTGTAATTACCACTGAATCAGTGGAGAAGCTAAATAAAAGTAAAAGAGGGTAAGAGAATTAGAGTTGTATGGGCTTGTCCAAAATTTATACCATGCATAAAATGTGTCCTCAGGCAGAGGAGACTGAAGTGATAAGTCAAGAGTTATAGGTATTGTCACTTAAATCATATTTTTGACTGATATTGTCATCTAAAAGTTACACAATTGAATTATAGAGTATTTTAACAGATCACCAACTGAAATACTACACCATTTTAAAAAATCTACAAATGTATGATATGGAGGGAGTTACTTATAGGCATTGATATTTTAAAAAATCATCTAAAATATATTATTGAGTTGGAGACTATCACCCTAACTGAAGTAACGCAGGAACAAAAAACAAATATCATATCACATGTTCTCACTTGTACCTAAGCCATGGGTCTGCAAAGGCATATAGGATGGTATAATGGGCACTGGAAACTCAGAAGGAGAAGGGTAGGTAGGGAGCAGGGATGAAAAATCACCTATTGAATACAATGTGCACTAGTAGGGGTGATGGTTACACTTAAAGCTCAGACTTCTTCATTAATATAACAATGTATCCATGTAACCCAAAATTATTTGTACCCCCTAACGATGCTGGAACAAAAATAAATAAATAAAGGATATCATTGAGTTAAAAAAGTTTGCAGGATGTCACTTTTATTTTTTTTAAACTTGTTTTACAATTTATATACATGTATACACAAAAAAGTTTGTTTGTTTTTTTATGACTACATATCAAAAGTAACAACAGTTATCTCCAGTGAAACTGGAGAATGACAGAAGTAAAATGGAGAATCTTAATTTATACATTACTGCTTTAGGACTTTTTTGTTTTTAATCTATTCATATATCTTTCAGTATTCATATCTATAAATTGTGTTATATGGTGTATTACTTACACTCACATTTTATAAAAAAGACTTTCTCTTAAAATGCTTAACTTGGGTCATAAAAATAAGATAGCATTTAGGAGTTATGGGGGAAAAAAAAAAGCAAATTATAATTTTTGCTCTGTGAAACATAGTTTCTCACGCCCATTTTCATATACCACCCTCCTCGTGACCACACACACCTTCTTTGTGTGGCCAGATACAAGTTATGTCATCATCCTATTTCGTAATTTACATAAACCCCTAATAATGGACATTTGGTTGTTTCTAAGTTTCTAAATAATTGTTCACTATCACAAACAATGCTATAATATAGATATTCACAAATATATCTATGAACACTTCCATATGTTTCCATATGATAAAACTTACAATTGTTCAGCTTACTAGTTAAAATTTTAATACAGTGCCATAATCCAAAAAGTTTTATTTATTTTACCTATATCAGAATCATTAAGTATTTTCTGAAAACTTCAGCAAGTAGTTGTTATAATCTTCAAACTTTGCTAGACCATGTATATCTTTATTTTTGAGATTATACTTTCAAATGTTATTGGTCATTTAATTTTTTCTGCTGCGAACTGCCTTGTCATGTTCCGTGCCCATCCCACGTTTCCAAACACTAGTTTCCCTTGTTCTTCTCTGCCTTCTTGTCTTCTATCTTTCTCATTATTTTGTCTGTTTTTCTCTTGTGCCTTGCATACTCTATTCTGATCCGTGGCTTTATGTTATGGGTTTTATTTTCACAGTCTAGAAAATCCTCCTGATCATCTATCCAACCATTATGATCCAAACTCCAAAAAGTACTACTTAGTCCACAGTGACTTCATTCTGTAAGCTTCACAGCATTTAAAAGCATTTGTTTACTCCAAATTGAAAAAAGTAGTCTGGCTAAAACTGAATGGATTGGTTCCTCTGACAATTAAGCTCCTACTCCTCCCCAGGCCACTGCTGCTCTCCCTGTTTACATTAATGCACTATCATTCTCCATATTCCCAAACTTAAACAACACAGCCATCTTTGATATTTCCCTCTGCTTTGCTTCCAACATTCCTTCCATCACAATGTCTCAATATTCATCCTTCATTTCCATTTCCCTGGTACCACTCTAACAGACAGGATTACAAAAACTGTGCATGAAAAATGCCACAGACATGGGCTAATATTCTAGCACTTCAGTTATATCACTATGTTATATTCCCCAACCACTGCCTTTAAAAATTTATCTTGGGAATAATTATTACTTCAGTAATTAAACTGAAGTCCCCTGAAGGAAATGGCCACTTAATATACATCTAATTCTTCCTCCACGGCATCCAATCAAGGTTCTTCCAAATTACTGTTTCATTTAATCCTCATAATCTGAAACCTAATTATTATTATCCCTATTATTATTTAGAGATGTTTAAATAATTTGTCCAAGATCATATAGCCAGGGAAAGGTAAAATGAGGAGTCAAATGCAGATCTGTCTGACTCTAAAACCCATGGTCTTTTCCAATCCCTTAGTCACTTCTCTCAGAGGATTCTAGTATGAAGTCACTAAATGTTTGTTAAAAGATGACACCTATTTTTCTTCAAATCTGCCTACAGAGAATAGTGTCCTCTATTCAAAATGTGTTATGCCTTATCCAAAATATGCAGTATTTACAAAAAATAATTTTAACTTATTAGTAGTAAAAATGAGCACAAAAGCGAGTAACACTCTTTCTTCAGCAGGGGAGAGTACACTAATAGTTTTAGTTGAAAGGTATTTTTAACACATTTCCACTGAGTATTATAGAAACTATGAGAGTGGAGTTGGCACAAGCCCAAATTCAGGAACAACAAATTAAGCTATGTTTCCAGAAACCTCCTTTTTCTTCATGCTTTGGAGAGAAAGCATCACTAACTAAAGGAAGATTACTTGAAAACTGACTGGTTAATAGAGTATTCTGGCTGTATATCCATTTTCTTTCATATCAGTGGTTTCCAAATGTCAATCCATGGGCTTCATGCTTCAAAATCACACTGTTAAAAACACAAGTTTCTAGGTTCCATCTCAAAGCTAATGAGTATGATTCGTGAAATGTATAATCCAGTAATTTGTAAGTATTTAAAATATACTAGCCGGGCTCGGTGGCTCAGCCTGTAATCCCGCGCCTTTGGGAGGCTGAGGTGAGTGGATTGCCTGAGCCCGCGGGTTCGAGACCCGCCTGGACAGCGAGACCTCATCTCTACAATAAATCAAAAAATCAGCTGGGCATGGTAGCACATGCCTGTAGTTCCGGCTACTCGGAAGGCTGAGGCGGAAGGATCGCCAGAGCCCAGCAGGTCGAGGCTGCGGTGGCTGGGAGCGGCCACTGCACTCTAGTCTGGGCGACCGAGTGAGACTCCAACTCAAAAAAAAAAAATATATATACTTAAATTTTAAAATATACTTAAATTTCAAGTATATTTCAAATACTTAAAATTATTTTAAGTGTTTAAAATATACTTAAATAAATTTAATATTTATTAAAATATTTTACCTCAGTAGGAGATAAAAAGTCAGAGAGGTAATGGGTACTCATCATGTATGACCTAGTAAGGCACTATAAGAACAGAAAAGCTGTAAGAACATTAAAATAACATGATCTGTCTTAAATTTTAAAAGCAAGATGTGACAACTGTGTTGACTGAGCTGAGAACTGACTTTAGGAAGAAGTTAGGATAATGGCAGGGCCAGGAGAGAGATGAGAAGCAAAGCAGTGCAGCTCAGACTATTCTGAAGGTACAGAAAACAGGATTTCTTGATAGATTGTAAAAGAAGCATGAGAGAAAATCTCCACTGTTTCTCATGTATGGTCAAGTTTGGAAACCACCAATTGCAAAGAAAATGGAAGCTTTAGAAGGCTGTGCCAATAATAAGCAAACAATTTTAAAACTTATATTTAGGCTCCATATAAACAAGGGAGTATTTGGGATCAAGATGGCCAATGTAATGCAGCTAAAGAGTGCTTCTCCTACAGAACAAACCAAGATAGAGTTTTTTCATCACTCAGAAAGGAACAGAACCAGTTTCAAGCCCTATGACCCTTCACAGTGATAATAACCATATAGTGCAAAGAAGAAAAATAATCCATTGACCTGGGTTGGAAATAGCCAGACTCTTACCTGTACCACTACCACAGTTGACTTGTAGTGTCCAGACACAGTGGGGAAGGTGAGTGAGGGGAATTCAGGAGTTCTGTGCTCCTGCCGCAGATGTAGAGGGGTCCCTGACCTCTGTGGGAATCCAATCCCTCACGGAAAACTGACTTATCCACAGTTGTGGTCTGCCCAAGCCAAGATGGAGTGGTGCAGGAAAAAGGAAAGCTTTGAGCAGTGCCAGCTGCTATTTCCCAGGAACTTAAGCCTTATGGGCAGCACAACTGCTTTATAGCTGGTCTGGGAGAGTTCAGGACCCAAGGGCTACCTCTTGGGTTCAGAAAGTTCCTGGCCAGGGTGGGCTGCCTGAGAACACCAGAGACCGTGAGGCCAACTGCACTTCGACATTGACAAGGCAAACTGCCTGACACCAAGGCAGAAAGCCAGGTGGAACCTGTTGCCACAACAAATTCACTTCCAGTGTAAATTCTTCTAGGCTGGCCCTGCACAACAGCCTTACCCCCAATGGCCTGGGTCCTTCTCCAAATCCCCACTGGGGTAGCCAAGAGTGCACTCTTGTGGGGTATTAGAGTGCCTTCCTTCCACACCTCCCGAACTCCCCTAAAAAATCCAAACAAAGAATTTGAATATCTCCAGAGTCCCACCCTCTGTCTAGGCTGGCTGGGCACTTCCTTGGAGCAACACATGCCAAGGTGAAATCTCACAGCTACCAAAGTAACTGGCTTTCTCCCATAAGTTCCACCTCCTGGCTGGAGGTCAATAGTATAGCCAACCACATCGGATATAATAACTCAGCTTTGGGGAAGGAATGATCCCAAACTTTAGCTAAAACCACTTTCTGAGCAATCCAACCACACAGGATACCATAAGCCAGTGCAGGTACCCAGCAGAGGACTGCCACAGCTAGCAACTAAGAAACTCATCCCACTAACCTCTAATAAGAAGAAACAATCTACCCAAAATGAGAAGGAACCACAAAGA